ATAAACTGCTGTCAGACAATCAATACGGTTTTCGATCCTCTCGCTCTACGGCCGACTTACTAACTGCTGTAACTGAAAGATTTTATCGTGCATTAGATGGAGGTGGTGAGGCTAGGGCTGTTGCTCTTGACATATCTAAAGCTTTCGACAAAGTTTGGCATGCTGGTCTTCTCCATAAGCTTGCTTCATATGGTGTTTCTGGGAAAGTTTTTGAGATTATCAAATCATTTCTTTCTGACCGGTTTATTAAAGTCATCCTTGAAGGCCAACACTCTTCTTTATTTCCAGTAACTTCTGGGGTTCCCCAAGTTTCCATCCTGGGCCCTGTTTTGTTTCTTATCTACGTAAACGATCTTCCTGACAACCTTTTATCTAAAGTAGCTCTTTTTGCTGATGACTCAACTTAATACTCCTGTCTTGACAAAAAGTCTTCTCTTTTCGATCGCCTAGAACAAGCAGCTGATCTTGAATCTGATCTCACTTCAGTAATAGATTGGGGTTCACAGTGGCTTGTGAATTTCAACTCTAAAAAAACCCAATTGCTTACTGCAAACAACTACCGTAATATGGTCAACATTCCTATATTAATGAATGGCAATCTTCTTACTGAGTCCTCCTCTTTACGTCTTCTTGGATTATCGCTTACTACTGACCTTTCATGGAAACCATATATAATCGATTGCTAAATTAGCTTCTGCTAAGGTTGCTTCTCTCTATCGTGCTCGCCATTTCCTTACTTCTGATTCCATTCTCTACCTCTACAAATCTCTTATTCGTCCCTGTATGGAATACTGTTGTCATATTTGGGCTGGTTCTTCTAACGATTTACTTTCTCTTCTTGACAAGGTCCAAAAACGCATTTTAAATGTTGTTGGACCTGGACTATCTGCTAAGCTTGAGCCTCTTTCCCATCGTCGTAAAGTTGCATCTCTTTCTCTTTTCTACAGATACTATCATGGTCACTGCTCAAAGAAGTTATCATCTCTAGTTCCATCAACTAAAATTCATTCTCGTTTTACTCGTCATTCAGCTAAGTCTCATTCGTTTACTGTATCTGTCCCTGCATGCTCTAAAAACTTTTATTCATCTAGTTTTTTTCCCCGCACTTCAATTCTTTGGAACTCTCTCCCATTTTCATGTTTTCCTGACTCATACAACCTTCAACTTTTCAAGTCTTCTGTCAACCGTTTCCTTGCTCTATAACTCGGTTCTTTTTTTTTTCCTAGTAACTCCCAACTTAATAGTGGTTGCTTGCAGCCTTGTTGGGAGTGAATGCAAATAAAAAAAAAAAAAAAGTGGGTTGTTACAAATTATTGTAATAATTATATAAAAAATTAAAATTGATATTGAGAAAATTTTATAATGAGCTACATAAAAAAGCTTTTTGTCACAGAGAAATCTCTATTGAAGAAATTAGAAGATTTATTTTTAATGATTTTTTCTTTTTATTATGGTGTTGATGGCTTGCATCAATCAAATTACATTTTTTTTTTTTTTTTTTTTTGTTCTTATTACAATTTTATTTGGTATAATATCGTTTTACATAAAATAAAAAGAACACGGAAACTCGAAGAGGATGGCTAGATCCTGTCACCGAGAACCGTTTAACAATGCCATACAAAATAAATAAAAACAAAATACCGATATTTACAATACAAGATTTTTAATAAGCCAAAACCAAACATAAAATACCGTTAAAAAATGTCAAAATATGTAATAAAACTAAATATTTAAATAAAATATTCAAAAAAACTCGAAGATGTTATCAATTGTCAAAGTAAATTTTTTCAGTTTATTTTTGAAAGTAAGAAAACTACAATTTTTAGAAAAATCAAAGTTTTTTAACACTATATTGTTCCACAGAAAAGCTCCGCGATATGATATAATATCTTCCAAAAATTGTGTGCGAATAATGTTGATGAATAAGATGTTTTCTTAACAGCTGGCTCATGCGAACAATAATGTCCATAATTTTCAAAAATATGCAAATTACTGTTTTCCCCTTCTGACGACATAAAGTTCGTATTATAATACTATAAATTAAAATAAAAATAAACATACAAAATTACAATAGAAGATTCTTAAACTTAAAAAATAAAACATGTTAAATAATTCACTAAATTTAAACATATAATAATTTTTGTATTAACAACCAATAAATAATTGCAAATTTTGACTAGTTCAATAATTATATTGCTAAAAAGTGTAAAAACGTTATAATGAGAAAGAAATAAGTTAAAACCATCAGCAAACATATCTGTCATTAGGTTAGAAGCTTTTGGTAGATCATTAATATATATTAGATATAGGAGAGATCCTAATATGAATCCTTGAGGAATTCCACATGAAATATTTAACAAACTAGATGGTATGTTATCATCTGCATAAACAAATTGTTTTTAATTATTTAAGTAACTTTTTAGCCAAATTAATATATTTCCTGTAATACCGTACCACTCCAACTTTTATTAAAAGAATTATGTGAACAATAGTATCCAAAGCTTTCGTCAAGTCAATGAAAACACCTAAAGTAAATTCCCTAAAGTAAAATTCCTTAGAAGCTAGGAAAACAGTCACATTCAAAATTTCACGAAAAATTGTCAGCCATTTAGCTGTCTCAGAATTTATTCACGTATGGAGCTCTAAATATTTACCAGTGGAGCTGGTAAGACAAATGTAGGCCTCTTTCCAATCATTGTAAAACCTTTAGTGCAATGGGCTGCATTGATGCTGCTTTCTCCGTTGATCTCTAGCTCCTCAGTTTCAACGAAGAAGGGACAATTAGCCGCTTTTGAATACTACTTTTGTGCTGGAGATCTCTTTAAAATAATTGCATCTTGATCTTTTTGACTCAAAACAACTGCCCACAAAGTAGGGTTAGCATTATTTACCAAGTTAAGTTGAACCTTGCATTCTCCACTGTTAGACAAAGCTCCTTTTTCTGACTCTAATGATTCACTTTGAAATTCATTAAGCTCAGCTTGAGGGAAATTGTTTAAGCCCCCACTGATCCACAGTCCTTCGAACAACATATTGAGTGCAGTAAACTACCCACATTAAGTGCAGCCAAGATGCAAAAACTCAAATATTTGAAAACTGGCCGGGTCATGGTAGAGTCAAGGCCAATTATTTGTCTGAAAAATGCAATGCTATGATTCTCTCTTTTGCCTTAACACTCAAATACAACTTGAAAAAAACAGCGCTTATATCGTGAAATCGACCACAACTGTCTCGTTCGCTTCAACTTCTTCAACAACCGTATAGTTAAAGAAGTTGAAGCGAACCCATGGAACTTACTACCTATTGAAGTTTTCAGTGCTATCTGCGTCAACTCCTTCGAAGCAAAATTTGATGAGTTACCAATATTATTACTACAGCACATAATCTTCCTTACAATCGAACATGAGCTAGCATTGCTAAATGTTCATGGGCTTACGGAACACGCCCGCTTCTGTCTAACTCTACAACAGCTAATTCCTAGTTTTTTCGTAAAAATTAGTTTATTAATAATTATAATAATAGAATTTTAAACTTAAATTATTTTTTTCATGTGCAATTTTATTCCAAATACTAAAGTTTCAATCTTAAATGCAAATACTAAGCAGATTTCAGATTGTCAGTCATTAAAATTTTTTCTATTTATTCTATTAAAAAAAAAACGTATTTTCCGGCGCCCCTTCAAGCTTGGCGCTTGGGTCAATTTGCCCCCTTTGCCCCTCCCTCTCAAAGGCCCTGTATATATATATATATATATATATATATATATATATATATATATATATATATATATATATATATATATATATATATATATGTATATATATATATAGATATATTAATCATATATATGTATATATATATATATATATATATATATATATATATATATATATATATATATATATATATATATATATATATATATATATATATATTAATCATATAATATATTATTCATATATTTTATCATATAAAGTTTAGTTATAACACATTTAGAACACGTTATCTATCTTTAGAAACATAAATCATTATTTATTTTATGTTTAAATTGAATTTATTAATTTATGCCAAAAAATCGGGTCTCAGAAACCATAGTGCAATGTTATAAAACTTTTGCAGAATTTTCAAATGCAAATTCAAATTTTCTGAAGTAAACTTTCAAAATTGCGCAGGTTATTATAACACAAAATAAAAAACCCTTCTTTTTTGCAGTTCATAGCGTGATTAGTGTTGAATGATTTCCACATGAACATTTTGAGGGTTGCCCACTAACATTCCGATTGTAACGGAGACATAATGCATCTCGGAATTTTGCTTTATTTAATATAAAATCTTGATTTTATATTAGTTATTGATTGACAATTAATTAATTATAAAATTAAGATTGCCAATTTGTGAAACTCAGAATTTCACCGATTGCCTCACAATTTTATTCTTGAAATTCGTCTGCACGCTTAACTGGTATCACCCATCCACCATGTTTTGTACTTACCAACAAAAAAGGTTGTGATGCCCGTTGCTACGCCGGTGCTACAAGTCGCATTGTCATAGACGCAATAAAAAATACGATTATTTTATTAAATGAAATAAAATAATTGTTACTTTATTTATCTAGATCATTTTCGTTTTTTAATCAAAATTTTTAATAATTAAAACTTAAAATAATATAAATCTATTTTATTATTTATTATTTTAGTATTTTGATAAATTCCCTCCGTTATATCTCAATTTTAATTTTAGAGAACTTGCGTGGTGAAATATTAACAATCTTTTTAATATTTTGTTGATAGATTTATTGTCAAACCGTCAACCGGGGTGACTCCGGACAGTTTTCGAAGAAAATATTAAACTGTTTCATTAATATCAATGCAAAATGGAAATATTTTTGTGGAACGTACCGCTGTATTTAAAACGGTTTAAAAATCAAAAAATCAAAATCGGGAAATGGGGTGACTCCGGATACTTAAAGTTTGAGATTTTAAAAGTTGAAATTTCAACATCAAGAGTTTTAAAATGAATGTAACTATGTTAAAAATCTGTTTGATTAAATTTTAATTTTTAATTAAGCAATTAATTTTTTATTTCAAATAACAAAACAAAAAACAACAACTATTGATAAACTATTTCAAATATAAATATAACTAATGATACAACTACAATGATTAATTATGAAGAATCAATTACTAATCTTTCTTATTTTGTTTAAGTTATTGACAGCTGTAAAAGTAAATCATATACAAATCATTGTATTTTAAAAAAAATTCAAAAATATTTATAGTTTTAGGTATACAATGCAATCAGTCGACATGGCATTTTCCAAATACTTTGAATAATACCAGCGACTGCAACGTTCACAACCAGTCCAATCAATTAAAACTTCCTCTTCTTCTTCTTCTTCTTCACAGATTTTATCGTTTTTGTCAATATCTTCTTTTCCAGAGATGAAACAAAGATCAGTTTCAATATCTTCAATGACATTTAAAACTGCCCAAGATGCAATGTTCAAGTTATTGCCCCTGGGTTTTTTTATTTCACATGCACCACAATGAGACATTAGTAAAGTTGTAACCGAATTGTTTAAAATGGATGCTTTTTAAACAATTCAGTTTATATAGTTTATTGGATAAAGCCCGCATGTAATAAAGGCAGAAACCAAATTCTGGCACAGTGTCTTGCAACTTAAGTGATAAACTTTTTAATAAACCTAGAAAATGTTCTTTGGGAAAGCATTCAGGGTTTCTGCTTTGTTTTCTCCACTCATATAGTACAAGTTTCCAACAACGCTTCATTGGACCAAAGACAGATACATCTAATAGCTGCATTAAATGTGTGGCATTTGGTGGCAACATAGCAAAGTAATCATTATGCTTCTTAGCAAGTTTAACAATGTCTGGATTAAAATGAGAGGCCGAGTTATCTCTTAAAAGAAGCTTAGGTCTAATTAAAATGTTGAACGTTCCACAAGAAGCATTTTTATAAGAAAAATTAATCAATTTTTGATTTAAGTTGTCATTTTGACAGTTACTTTTAATTACTTGAAAGGTGATATATAAAAAAAAATCATTCTAAAAACAAACCACTTGGCAAACGTCTCTATATCAAACCAACCTAATTTTGTGCAACTGTATATTGTTCCCTGTGTCCCTCCTGTTACCCAACCTTTATAAACGTTTGATGCTCTATAAACTACCATAGGTGGTTGTAGTACTCCTGAAGCAGAGCCACACCACGTAAGAGATATAGAAGTTTTACTATGTTCTTGAACGTTTTCCACACGTGGTCTTCCTTTTCGAACTAAATCAAAGTTTTTTTCAGGATCATCTGAAAGGTCTCATCAAAGTTAAATATGTTTGAAGGTTGAATATCACCAAGAGATTTATAAGTTTTTTAAAATTCATCAAAAAAATTGTTTATTGTTTCTACTCTTACCTTTGGTCTGGATCGTTTAATATTAGAAACATTTCTGCCAGAAATATTGTTTCATTTCATAAAAGATTTTAACCGGTCATTTCCAGGTATCTGCAAATTGAAACTGTTTGACCCATTACAATTTTTGACAAAATCAAAAGCCATCATTCTGACTTCTAATCTTCTTATAGGAAAGCCCAAATTGGCAACAGCTTCTAGCAATTGAGCAATATGTACCTCATCTGCTTTGCTTATAATTGTCTGGCTTCCAACCTCCTTTAAGGTGGGTTTTCTAATGTGATCATGCAATGTTGATTCTTTGACTTTATGCTTATCAGTAATTTTTCGAATATTTTTTTGCTTTTACTGTGATCTTCTATAGATTTTTTTATATCTTTTTTAGAGCTTTTTCCATACAACACTTTTAAGTTTAGTTTACGTTTGTAGTTTCATGCCATCACTAAAAGAAACTGAAGTAGAGTAATAAGTAATGCTCTGTCCAGAGTCACCCCGCTGTTCGGAGTCACCCCGGTTGACGGTATTTAATATGTAGACAATATATTACATTGTGTCTGAATTTTTATATATTTATATGAGCAAAAATGAAGTTTTATACATCTTTGTAATATAAAATATTATAAAGATGTATTTTGAGTATTAAACAACATGTCATTATTAATCTGACATTTTAGTATATTAATAGTATAATAAAATCTTTTTAATCACTCTAGAATATATATATATATATATATATATATATATATATATATATATATATATATATATATATATATATATATATATATATATATATATGTGTCACACACACACACACACACATATATATATATATATATATATATATATATATATATAATATATATATATATATATATATATATATATATATACACACATAATGTGTGTATATATATATATATATATATATATATATATATATATATATATATATATATATATATATATATAATATATTTTAGTTGTGGTTGTTGTTTTTCTGCTAATTTCAAAATATGATATATGAAAATTCAGATGATTTGAAGCGTTCAATGCAGAATAAAGTTCAACATGGTATGCTTAAAATGGTTCATACAAGTTTTATATAAATTACATATTTTCATTTAAAATTAAAAAAGAGATTGTGATTGGTGGAAAAATAGTTTTGTAAGTTTTGTTATTTTTGAGATAAAATTGGATTAGCTGGTGGTTTAGAAATATAAAATTTTTATACCCAAAGTCCGAGTTCTCTAATGATTACTTTTCATTAAATTTACTCTAAGTTCAAAAGTATTTTGAATTCTAATAGTGCTATTTTAAGATTGAATAAGTTTAGGTCCCATTCTTTTTGTGACTTCTAATTATTTCCATTCCATTTCATCTATGCTTTTAGTCAACCTTATTTTAATTTGTTTTTATTTACAAATTTATTAAATTTGTAAATAAAAACAAAACAAAAACAACAACAACAAAAAAACAACCCACAGTGAGATTTTTTTTGATAACTAAATTATTTAATAACTTCTAGGTTATAAATTTGTAAATATTTATAAATGTCTGTCCCAAACTTTACCCACATTTAGAAAGTAATTTAATGTTTGTATATGATGCTATTTACTAATAAAAAAAATTCTCAAGTATTAAAAAATATTTTTTTTATTACCTAAAAATTTAAAGTCTCCTTACAACCTTTTATTGATGGTTGCAAAATATAATTAAAATGGAGCTCCAGCTAGTCTGGAAGGTAGTGAAAAATCAATTGTATTACTTTGCTACAAAAAGTGGGGACCATGCCCTATTATCCAAATACTCCCTAGTCAAATTCTTTATATTTTTTGAAAGATCAGTGAATATAATTCCTAAAGGTAATTGTTTTATCGTGAGTTTAAAAACAGTTGATATTAAATACAGATTTTAAAAATATCATTCTTAAAAAAAATTATATTGTTTTAAAAATGATATATTTTTTTATTAACCTTAATATTAACTCAAACCTGATTTTGTAAATTTATATTAAAATTTGTGACTTTTTCAATTTTGTAAATGGATAAAAAAACAACAACAAATTTCTAAAGAAAATGCACTTTTAAAAATAAAATAAAATTTTAATAAAAAAGGAAACAAAGAGATTTTGTTTGCCACTTGAATTAGTTTCATGTTTTTAAACACAGACAATTTTTTTAAAAAAAATTTTTTTGTATCAAGTGTAAAAGTTTTTTGAAAGATTTTTTTTTTTATATCAGCTTTCGAGTAATTTAAAGTAACTGTCAAAATGACAACTTAAATCAAAAATTGAATAATTTTTTTTATAAATAATTATGAAATTAATATTCATTTAATAATCCTATTGTATATACTAGTCTTTCTAGTTATTTTTTCTATAGATAACACCATACAACTTTAGAAAATTTTAATTATGTTTCCAATTTTTTTTACAGTTTTACTTAAAATAAATTAGGATTATGTTTTGAGTGTGAATAATCATCATTTTCATCCTCAAGAATGGTGTTCTTAACTCTTTCACACACTGTAGAACGCCTCTAGAACAGTGTTCTTAACTCTTTCACACTCTCTAGAATGCCTCTAGAACGGTGTTCTTAACTCTTTCACACTCTGTAAGTTTACAATTGGAGTGGAGCAGGGAGATACACCATGCACTTGGAATTTAAAAAATACAACTTATGACTTATGACTATAGTCATTAGTTATCATAAATATAAAAATTAAATATAACAATTAAATATAACAATTAAATGTAACAATTAAATATAACAATTAAATATGTAACTTGTGATATTTGCATTGTTTAACTCTGCTAGTATTGTCAAAAATAAGCAGGGCTAAATAAAAACATAAAATTTCATAAAAACTTAATGTATCTGTGTTATATTTTTTGTATGTCTTTATTTTTTAGAAAGTGAAGAAGAATGCGATACTGATGACAATGTTTGGGATGATGATGTTAGTTTTTTGCTATAATTTTTTTTTTTGTTAGTAAACATTTACTTAAATATTTTTAAATACAAAAAAAAGATTTTTTTTGCCAATGACATTTTGACAAATTGCTACTATAAGATTACTTGAGTAGTTTTTAATTAAACTTTTGAATCCTTTGTAAACGCCAGTTATCTCACAAGGACTTAAGTACATGTGACAATGATACAAGTGTCATTATGGTAGAGGTATTTTCCTTTGTGGTACCCAGAGGAATCACAATATCCCATTCTTGGTCCTGTATTTTCTTGATAACCTTACATTTCAATAACATTACAGTCCAATTTTTAATGACACAACTATAGACTCAAGTTTTAGCATAATATCATTATTTTTTGGTTGCTTAGAACAGGCAACCAATCAATAATGAATGTGATTTCTCTTGTTTGACAGCTTGGAGCTTGCAATGGATGGTAAATTTAAACCCAAATTCAGTTATATACTGCTAGTAGATCCTGCATTATTTATATTTTTTTATGCTCCTGATTCCATTCTAAATAAAGTCATTTGCAAGAAGAGTTTTCTTTAAACTTTTTCTTTTAGTATTTTTTATTTATTTTTTTAGATTTAAAATCTTTAAAAATTGCATTATTTTTTAATTATGTAATTAAAAATTAACGTTGTTTTATTTTTTATTATTATATGTTTAATATTATGTTAAATATAGTTATCATAGTATAATATTTTTTATAATTATATGTTAATGTTATGTTATATATTGTAATGTTGATGTTATATGTTGTTATTTAAGCATTATATGTTTTTGTTATTATGTTCTTGTTATTATTTTTTTATGCTATTTATTTTATGTTATGTTTTAGTTTAACTTTTAAAAAATTATAAAACAAAAATTCGAAAACAAATGCTTTAAAAATATCATAAACATTAAAAAATACATTGAAAATTTTTTTTTCAAATTTTATATTTTTATATGTATGAGCAAAATTGAACAAATCTAGGTGAACAAAAAAATCTGGGTTAATTTTTAATGAGGGTTTTATTTAACTTTTTAAATTTTTTTAACTTTTTTAATTTTTTTTTTTTAAAAATTAAATTTTTTTTTTTTTTTTAAATTTAAATTTTTCAACTTTTTAAATAAATTTTAAATATCACTCATGAATCTTTTTTTTATCTTCCACATTTCTAATTCCTTGTAAAGTTTTTTTTTTATCTATCTTGCACATTTCTACATTCCTTGTAAGTTTTTAACATAGAAAATCAATAAAAATTGCTGACTCATAGTTTTGGAACTCATCCCACCAAAGTATATGTATCTTTGAACACTGTTCAAAGATTCATTCATCACTTTGAACACTGTTCAAAGTGATAAATGATGTCTGGTCAAATGCACAACAGTTTTCTCTGTTTAGCCAGTGCTTTTGCGCTTAAGTCTTTTCACACTTGTCCACACACCTGCAAAAAAAGTGCTTGCCAAAAAAAATAAAAGCATTTTGTTTTAAATTGCAACAAAAATTTTGTTTGTTTATTTGTTCAATTTTATGAAAAATGCTTTTTTTTACTTTTTTTTTTTTAATTATTTTATCTAGTATATATTCAAAGCATTTTCTTTTTGCTATTGTTATTTGAAAAAAAGACTATCCTGTCAGCGCTTTTTTATATGCTGGCAGTATATTTCAAATGGAGAAGACTAACACAGTAAAAATTAATCATGGAAATTAATTTGTTAGCAATCAATGTCACAGACTCAATGTGGATCTTTTCTAATAAATGGCAAAACAAGATTCAGCCTTTCAAAATTTTGATTTTGTTAATGCATTTAGAAAGTTTCAGGTTATTGTTACTTCTTGCTTTGTCATAACACTTAAGAAGGACTTTGCAAAAAGAATTTTGCAATAAACTGGTGTTTTGAAATTGCCAGAAAAGTTTATGCTATTTTTCAAATGACAGTACAGAGGAGATAAAGCAATTTTTCACTATCAAATGCCCTTTCTGGTATTAGTCTATTTTCCTCATCAGGATCAAGACTGAACATTTTTATTGTAATGTGTGAATAGCTATGTCCTTATTAATAAATTATTTTTTGAATGCAGTAAAAATGCAAGTTTTTAAAATACTGTCATTCTACTTTCATGTACAATAAAAAAAACAATTTTTTTTTCCCTCGGATGTAATAGTTAAATTTGTGTGTTATCTTTTTTGGTAACTATGGTAAATAAATAATTTGCATTTTCACCTTTTATAGGTGGCTTTTATATAGAGATTCATGAAAGCCACCTATACAGGGTGAAAATATTTCAACTACCTAAAAAACGCTAAAATAATTTAATTTTAGGTGTTTAATAAAAAATTTTATATCCTAAAACTTTATAACAAGTATTAAACAGTTTAGTTGAATAATTTAGTGTTTAATTCATTTCAGTTTACTGATTCAGAAGAAGAAGAAGAATTAAATG